TTGGAAGCTTACCTCTTGAATCTCACTTGCTAATTTTCAAGAAACTTGCTACAGAAGTAAACCAATGCTTTGGACACCTCAATGAAGCTTCTTGGATGCTTGGAGCCAAATGAAAACCTCTAGGACATAATCTAGCTCCTTCTTGCAAATTTGTCAAAAGTGGAAAAAATGGAAACTCCACCAAATGATGTTACAGTTGAGAAACGTTTGTTGGAACAATTTAAGGATGTTATTTAGAGTGTGTATGAAGTGTTGGATGATTTTGAAATGGACAGAATCAAGACATGACTTTGAAAATTCAAAAAAGTGAAGGATATAAGGTTTTGACAGTTGAATTTCTAATTTTGGTGGTTTGGGATGAAGATGAATGTTTGGAAACATTTAAGGGATGATTTTTTATGTGTTTGGATGATTGGTTTGAATGAAATTTCTCTGAAATGAAAAATTTAATTTCTCACTTTTGAATTATGAAACTTTGAAACAAGAGAGGAAATATAAAACAAGCTTTGGTATTGTTTTGGTGTATTTGAATTGATACAAAATGACCTCTATTTATAGGAGAACTACTTTGTTTTAGATGAATAGTGTGGGATGAGGGAGCATGCTATTGTCAAATGGATATGGCCATGTAACTTTAACTTAAATGATAATGTATCGTTAATCTTCTATAGCATGACTAGAATCTTGGCTCAATTGGCATTTTGCAGGTTTGAACACTCATTAGTTTTTGAACATATCTGAACATGTGTGGCTCATTTTTAATGTTTCACTTAAATGTCAAATGACAAACTTGACTTCATGGCTTTGTAATGATGATTCTCACATGCTAAAGGATAGATCCTTGACTCATTAGCATATTCTTGCAGACTTTGTGTGACTCTACAAGGTTTATGTTGATCTTAGAGGATGATAAGGCTTGTAAAGTGACAAAAATTGAAGGTGAAAATCGTGTGACACAAGTAATGCACCAATGTTGTCTTGAAAATCACTTTGATCATGTCATGTTGTTAAATCTATAACTTCTTGCTCAAGCATGCTCAATAGATGTTCTTGTACTTGTTGGAAAGCTGAGATATCCTACTTTAACTTTGATGTTCACAATTAGTATTGATTCAATTTAGATCATTGTGAAAAATGCCCTTAAAGTTTGCTAAAACACAAAACAAATTCTGCCTAAAAAATTTCTAAGTGTTAAGGTTCAAAAAGTATTGAGACCCTAACTTTATGGCTTCATATCTCACAATTTATGCATTTTTTGGGAATCTACCCTAAGTGACAAAGTTGTAGTATGTAACAAGCTCTTCAATTTGGTCTTTGGATCCAAAGAAATGGTTGCTTGGTTTGGAAGTTATGACCTTGCAAAGTTGGGCAAAAATCAATATTTTTCATGACTTAGAAAAATTTCTAAGTTTTCTAAGGTTGCCCTTTTTACAAGTTGTCTCACTTTTCTAGATCAATCATGATCCAAGTCACATATTAACATTGTCCTTAACTTGAAAAGGGCATGGTTGACCAAAAACTCAAAAAGTCAAACTTGATTTTGAACATAGTTGACTTTTTGTTTCAGATGAATCTTGAACTTTGTGCTCCTTTATGAGATCAAATCCATGGGCTAAATTAAACATCATGGATGGATCCCAAGGGTGTTATTGAATGTCTTGAGTTATGTCCCAAGGTTTGAGATCATATCTTAGTCAAAAGTCAAAGGCATAGTTGGCTTTTTCATCAAAAATCCTACCTTGTGGTCCAGATGAATTTGAATCTTTGTTTTGCTTATGAATCAAGTTCTTTGGATCAATTCAATTATATAGATGAGCCCGTGTGATGTATTTGAGGTCCTTGAAACATATCTTGAGGTATTGGATCATGCTCAGATGAAAATTTCTCTTTGGAGGCCTTGATCAACCAAAACCCTAATTCGGTGCCTTAGATGATCTTAGGGCTTGATCCACTTTAAATGATGTATACTTATGCTTGATTCTTGATGAAGGATACCTCTTGATCTTTATGGATGAATGAGAGACTTGATAGGTTGAAGATCATGCTTATTCTCGACTGATCCTTTGCCTGAATCCTTTTTTTAGGCTCAAAACTCTAATTTACAGCCAAAGGAAACAAACAACAATCTTTGCATGTCCAAATGAGTTAGTGATGCATAAGAGTATACACATATATGATGCTAATGAAATGCAAATGATGTGGGATTTGAGGATAAAAATTTAGGGAGTGACAAATTGTTGAACTTTTTTTTTCTTTGTACCTTTAGTATTTGGACTTATTGTTGTTGACTGAACTTTCTTGAAATACTTTGTGCTGTTTCGTTCTCTATTTGTTTTTGAATCGTTGATAGGTGTTATGATTTGGGTAAATTATATTTTGGTTTGAGTTTCGTATGATTAGGGTTTGGGTACGTTGATCCCTTTGTTTGGTTGGGTTTTAGGTAAAATTGAGTTTGGATTTGGAAAAAGAAGGTTAAAATAGAGAATTTCGATTTTGGTTTTTCTTATTGGTGGTGGTTGGCCGTCGAAGACGATGGTGGCGCCGCTGCCCCTTTTTGGCGAGGTTGAGTGAGGAAGACGATTGGAATAATTGAGAGGAGAAAAGGTGCAGAGCTTTTGTTTTTTTGAGGAAAGAGAGTAAGAATTCCAAATGATAGATTTGACTCTGCTGATCCAAGGGATATGAACCTTTTCCCTTCATTGCATGTCCGCCACCTATTTGGCTTCTCTTAACCAAGTGGCCAGCCCTTAGTGCTGCCACATCGTGTTGACTGCTGGTCAATTGGGGATCTCACGTGGATCCCACCATAACAACCATGCATGTGCGCCTGTACGTCTGAAGATCCGTTGTTTGATCAATCAGAGGGTTGGGATGAGATCAGCTCGTTGACTTTCCCTACCTCCAAACTGACTCGTTAACTAGCTTGTTGGGCCCTTGAGTGGTGGGCCTGGACCGAGTTTCTTATATGCACCCTGTGTTACTACTTATACACTTTCTGTTATGGGCTCTTGGGCTTGTTTTTTTATAGGTGTCCATTTTACTCTTTTCTTATTTCTTTTAATATTTTCTTTTTATTTCAGTTATGACATTAATTCTACAAATGATTAATTAACACATTAAAATATGATTTTAAAACTTTTTTTCATTATTTCTTTTTATTTAATTAATTTTTAGTTTTTTTTATGATTATTAATCAATTAAATAATTGTTTATAATTATTAAATAATTAAATATATGATTAGCCCTAATTTTAATTTTTTAAATAATTTATTCTATTAATTAATTGGCTATTTATTTTTTTTTATTTTTACAAAGTTATATAAATAAATATATAGTAATATTTATTAAATAAATGGACAAATAGTTATGACTTATTCTAAAATTTTGGTTTAACACCAAGTATTTCTTTCTTAACCTGATTAAATTATTTTCATCTCGATTCAAATATTTTTCTAAATTAAGTTTATTGCTTAAATCTTTTCTTAAACAAAGAAGAAGATTATTGGAGTCTCGCATTCCTTGAATCTTCGAACAAACGTTTTCGCGACACACGTCTTAGGTTAGCCTTTCATTCACTCCTTTCGTTTCTAAAATACTTAATATAAAAACTTGAACGAAAAGAGGGGTCATTGAAATCTAGCATTCCGATGGAACCTTTGAACTATTAATTATGAGACATTTGTCTCATTCTTTTTAATGTTTACTATCCATCAAACAAATTTCAAAACTTTGAATGAAAAAAGTATCATTGGGATCTAGCATTCTGGTAATACTCTGATTAATTAGTTTCGAGACTCACGTCTCATTCTTACCGAATATTCGTCATTCATCTTATAAAAACATTCAAACACATCAAACTTATTTTCTCGCCCCCGTACGATTAAAAATCTTTTACAAGAGAACGTTTGTCTAATCCCTTTTAATGCGTAGACAAAATAGCGCTTAAGTCTTACCCGCGAGCATGCAAGTCAACGTTTAACTGTTAGAATGCTATCTAAACACGTGTTCACCATAATAAACTTTAATCGATCAAACTCTTATCAAAAGAACATTGCTTAATCCTTTCTAACGCGTATATAGACTAGCGCTTAAGTCTCGTCAACAAACATGGAAGTCAATGTTTAACCCTTAGGTACTTGTTCATTAAAAAAAATCAACAAACATTTTCCCCGAACTATGAAGCTTTGAGTTCCTTATTGTATCCGAGAATACGTAGGAGCGAGACTCGCAATCTCGTCAAGTATCATAATAAAACATTTTTGTGACCCCTTTCATCTTCCTTTTACACTTTTGATCATTTGAAAAAAATAATTAATATAAGCTAACATTCAATCGCAAATTTAACAAAAAAGTTCTCGTTGAATACAACGGACGTGTGGGGTGCTAATACCTTCCGCTTACGTAATCGACTCTCGAACTCAAATATGATTGCGATGACCATTTTCTTTTATTGATATTTTCTCTTTTTTTTTATTGAAATAAATAAAGTTCGGTAACGATTCTGTTCAAATCACTTTTTCACGACTTAACAGAAGATCTTATTTTTCGAGATGCAACATAACCTCGTCAAAATTCGAGGCGCATTGTATCTAGGACCACTCAATCCATTTCGATGACCCGGTCCCAAAAAGGGAACCCAACATTTACACAACCCATCAACCACGAAGCTTGAACGGGCAAAATCTTTAATTAAGAAAGCTGAACATGTACAGTATAGTAGTACACAGTTACCACGTTTGTAAATGAAATGAAGTGGTACATCAACGAATATGCAAGAATGCACAATATATCTTGAGTTAACATTTCCAATATATGTATTGAAGTTATACTTTTGAAGGAGGAAATTAGTTTTTCAAATCATATAATATTTGAATCTGATAATCTAATTCAAATTGAAAGGCAAACACACAGCCTTTTTTAATTTTATTATTCATGCATGCAAAACTGAATAGATATTCATACAGAAAACCAATAGAATAAAAAATCATATGCAAATGAATTTAAATATGTTTCCATGGTCTTTCTGCTAAGTTCACACACTCTCTGTGCCTATAACAATCAACAAGATGATCTATTGTCAACCCTGCCGCTTGCATGAAAGAATAAACAATCACTGGACCCATAAATCTAAAACCACGTTTTATCAAGTCCTTGCTTATGGTTTCTGCTTTCGGCGTCCTTAATGGAACATCTCTTGAGTATCTCAGTCTGTTAATCACTGGTTTGTGATTCACATAACTCCATATATAGCTACTGAATGATCCATACTCCCTCATAATCTGTAAACAAAATGTTAATCCAGATTAAGAATAATGCATTTTTATAAGTAATGAAAACAATGTTTTATTTTTATGTGAGGAACTTGCCTTTGTTATGCATTTGGCATTGTCTATTATGCACTTAACTCTTGAATCAGCTAATAAAAGTTCTTTATTTGATGCTATCTCCATGATTTCCTTCTCTTCCATTTTGGCAACAATGTTTGGATCAAATCCAGAAAAAACTTGTCTGTGTCAAGAACATTATAAGAACATGTTAGTGTATTTTCAAACCAGACAACATGCATATAGATGGTTTTTGTTTTTGTACAAAGTGAATTTTACCGTAGAACTTCTTTTCTTTTTAGGATTTCTGTCCAGTTGTAATCTATCAGCAATCCCGACATTGCAAGCAGCTCGAACAGTTTTCTGTATCATGCACACAAAATACGACACTGATTCTTTGATACTGATAATAATTTCAAAACATATTGAGGAGAGCTTACTTGTCATCATAAGCTGGAACTCCCCAACAGTCATCATGAAATTCAATGTATGCCTTATCTGCACAATACCTCTCTTTCAATATCTTAATTACTATTGTGATGGAAAAGAAAATGAAATAAAAAAAACTTATTATGTTTATGTTTATACCACAATTCTTTGTGATCCAATTGCATCTTTTCAATTCACCAAACTCGGTTGCATGTAGATTCTGTTGTTGCTGTGAAGTATTAACAACTGCACGTTCTTTTCTCTGATATGGTGAAATCAAATGCTGCGGTAATGCGACGTTTTCATCGGCTAGATTCAACGAATCCGTGAAACAAGAGTCATTTGAATTTTGTGACAGTGACGATGATAATGAAGACGACGATGAAGATGAAGAACTTTTCTCTAACCCAATAGGGTAGACTCTTTTGATGTGTTTTTGGAAAAATATTTGATTCAATTTTTTTGAATCTTGGTCACTTCTTACATTTGTTTTAGACATGCTTTTAGGAAGATGAGGAAAAAATTCTAATGATATTCTAAATGTGATGAATGATTTTATATGGTTGAGTATTCATAAAAGTAGGATATTCTCAGAGGAGGTTGGTGAAAAGTGAGTTTCAAGAAATAATATTATGATTATAATAATAGGGAACATTTGCTTGATAAGGAATTAAGGATACTTCAATGTTTAGCAACATGTACTAAAAATCAATATTCTCAAATAAAACAAAAGCAAACTAAGACAAGGATTGTCTTGATAGTGAAGTCAATTGTCCATTTAACCAAACTTTTGTCGTCAAATGACGGATCATTATCTATATCTCTAAATGGTACAATCAAGGTTTTAAATCGAAGTGTAAAGAGTTTTGTGATTGGCTCGTATATTGTGATACTGATTACGATCATCACATTTATATTATTAAAACAGTAAATAATAGTATCGATATTGACACATTTTAATACTGTTTTGTTCCAGCCGTATTTGCGATAAACTTTTTTCTATCTCGGTTCCATTTATGTAACAACACACTAAATGGTGAAATGGTGAAGGGTAGTTGTAGTGTTTTTCTCAATGCAAGCTGTAATGAGTCCATTCTATCATTCTTAACTCTTACGCGTATTCACACCTTTAGCCCACTAAGACAAAGATACACTATCTTTCTTTAGTTAGTCGATCATATATCTCACTTTCAAAACGATATTTTTATCTTTAAACACCTTTGGGGTGCATGAAATAAAAACTGACTGCTGCTTATTTAATTATTCGTTCAAGAGAAAAACAATCATTTCACTATGTATAGTAATTTTCTTTGACAACTTGGATTATGGAATGGGATTCTTTCCATGAAGCTTTTACTAGAGAGAGTCCATTTATACTCAATACCACTCAATTTTTTGTGAGAAAAAAAATAAGTGAATGAGATTTCAGAAATTTTTATCTAAATAATTTACTTTTATAAATGTATTCTTGTAATAATCGACATTCCCATATATTTTTTTTTAAAAGTAATCTATTTTTAAATTAAAAAAAACTGAACACAAAATTGGTGTCACGCGAATTGGCGACTATACTTAAAATTAGAGTCGTGACGCAAATTGAATTGGCAATTGCATGTGATGTTGTCAATTCAATTGACACGAGAGGTTAAGTACTAAATTGTGCATATTTTTATGGTATTTTGTGGCTCTTTCCAATTGTTTCTTTGGTGTTTTAGTAGTAAATCTTTATGTTTTAATGTAAATATGCAAGTTTCCGATTATACATGTAAATATTATGAATTGTGATCATTTTGACACTTTCTGATAGGTTTTTTTGCTTGATATAATGCTTGGAACCTGTGGATGATGGAAGAGGGCTTTAAAGATCAATTTTGCAACATTTTGACGGAAACTCGCGCTTAGCGTGTTTTCTAGCGCGGTTTCAGCACACTTTTGAGATGAAGACAGTAGCTAAAGGTCCATGACCGCGCTCTAAATGCGCTTAGCGCACTTTCTGGGAATTTTCCGCCTTTGAACTGATCGCGCTAAGCGCGCGCTGATGGCACTTAGCGCGGTGCCACTTATAGGTCCATTTTTGAACTTATATAAATAGGCTCTTGGGAGATATTTTGAAACTACACTTCATTTTCTGCACTTTTTCAGATTGAAAAGAAATGTTTAGGGTTTGAAGCTTAAAAATTCCAAGAGAAGTGAAAACCAAAACTTTAGAGCATCAATCTTCGATCTTTCGAATTTGATGCTAGTAAAGCTTTCCTTTTTACTTGTTGATCAAGCTACCATAGTGGTGGCTAGCTAAACACCTTTTATGTCAAGATTAGAGGTAGTTAACCCTATTAGTATGTATTTCTTTTGATCTTTTGTATGTGAGCAAAGTTGATGATCAATATATGATGAAGATCTTTGATTTTAATGATATATGTATGGTTTGAATCACTATAGACATAGATTTTCCAAATCTTGATCTAAGGTCTTCATCTATTAACAAACAAACTCTAGACATAAATTTTATTGTTTCGATTGTTGTTTGGAGAAATCATCTAGCGATTGAAACAATAATACCCACGAAGCCGCTTTAGAAATAGACGGAATCGAGAGGATACACGATTGTATTGATATAAACCAAGTTCACATGCTTGATTAGTCGGGTATGTATGAAATGAGATAATGAAATCTAATCTTGACATGCTTTTTTTAAAACAAACATATTTCTATAATTTACTCTTTGCAACCAAAATAAGTGAAACATATGTTACCAACCTAAAACTCTTTGAAAACCTTTCTTAGAATCTCATAAACTATAGAACGGAAAGTAAGATCAGAACAATTCTTGTGGATACGATAAAACAACCCACCTAAAATACTTTACAAAAAAATGGCGTCGTTGTCGGGGATTGTTGTTGATATTGCAAGCATTGCAATAGTTTATTGATTTTAATATCTTTGTATTGTGATCTCTTACCTCTGTTTATTTTTCTTGTGATGTTTAATTTGTTTGGTTAAGTGTCCAGACTCTGTTTATGCAAGGGAGTGTACCTGCGGACCAACTTCTTTTTTATCCTAAGATTTAGAGAACTACTCATAAGCTCAATAGCAGAACTAGGCGGAGGTGGAAACTTTTCAAAGAAAGACAATAGCGCGGAGAAACTTCTTCATCTACACTCATTGTTACGCCAAACATCACAGATCCACCTCTACCTCCACCTCCTACTTCAACTCTATGTATTAACAGCCCAAGATACAACGCTTAGTTTACACGTAATGCCCACAACGAGAGGCATTCTGAGAAGAAGACAGGAATCCTTGCTCTTTTATATCAAAATACTTTTACTGGAATAGACCATGAGGGTCCGTTCACTCATCTCAATAAATTCTATGAAATTACGAGTGCAACTAGAGCACCAGAAGCAGAAGAGGAATCCTTGTTTAAGAGACTATTCCTGCATTCCTTAATTGGGAAAGCAAAGAAGTGGCATTTTGATCAATCTACTCAAGTAATGACGGATTAGAACATTTTGGAAGAGAAGTTTCTTGAACGATTCTTCCCTCACAATTGGTTTAGAGAAGTCAAGACGACGATTTCGGTATTTGCACAAGGTGGAAGCGAATCTCTCAATGAAGTTTGGGAGAGATTTAAATCTATGTTGAGAAAGTGAGAAGGTCGTTATTTTGATGACTTGACTCAAGTGCATATATTTCGCAATGGGTTTCAACTCATTCAAAAAAACTCTTTTAGATGCTAAGGCGGGAAGTTCTCTAATGTCAAAAAGTGCATAAGATATAGTTGTCATCATTGATAGGATGACACTAAATGATCATCAAGGTCAACACAATCGTGGTACTTCGCAAAGAAAATCGGGAATTATCGAGTTGGGAACGAATGATGCAATTCTTGCTCAAAATAAATTTCTCTCACAACAGGTGGAGTTGTTGACAAAGAAAATTTCAAAACTCCCACAAAAAATCAAAGAAATCCAAGAACTTCCCAACCAAATCAAACGAATAACAAGTTGTAAACTTTGTAAAGGTGATCATCCAACCAGCTATTGTCCACCAGTTATTGAAGAAACTAACTATGCGGGTAACCAAAATCAAGGCTATAAACCTAAACTACCTTATCAAAGAAATAACCAAGGTTACCAACCAAGAGGGAATCAAGGTTATAAACAACAATGGAGGCCTCAAGAAGCCGAAACTTCTAATCTTCAACATCAAAACCAAAACTACATTCAACCTTCACAAGTTCCAAGTGGAAATTCAAAGATGGAAGACACACTAACCCAATTTAGGCAAATGTCAATGTCCAAAAAAAATAATATTGATGCGGCTATAAAGAACCTTGAGACGTAAGTGGGGGCAATTATCTAAACAATTGGCCGATCAACAAAAAGGAAGTTTTCCAACAAATACTCAAATGAATCCAAAAGATCATTGCAAAGATATTCTTACTAGAAGTGGTAGGAAAATTGATATGGGTATAAATTACGAAGTTGTGGAAAAAGAGAGAGTATTTGAAAAAGAAAAAGAAATTGATGAGAGTGAAGAAGAAAATAATCTTGAGGAGATTTAGTTGAAAATGAAAACAAAAAGAATGAGGAAGAAGAAAAGAAAATGATAAAAGATAAAAATAAAAAGATTAGGAAATGGAAGGAACAAGTGAGTACTATTACTATTCAAAATTTGTCTTATTCTCATGCTCCAATGAAGAAAGACAATGCAAGGCACTATGCTCGGTTTTTGGATATTTTTAGTCAATTGCAAATTAATATTCCATTTTCTGAGGCATTGGAGCAAATGGTAAAATATGAAAAATTCATGAAGGATATTCCCACAAAAAAAGGTACACAAATCAAGAAATGATAATGGTTGATGCTAGTTGTAGCACTATCATTCAACAGACTCTTCAGCAGAAAGAAAGTGATCTGGGAAGAGTTACCTTACTGGTCACCATAGGAAATATTTATGTTGGTAATGGGTGTCGCTACTGCGAAAAACAACCGGCGGAAAAAACAGAAGAGTCGCCACTTTCATTATTTATCCCAAAGAGAGGGAAAGGAAACGATCGCAAAAACCTAAAGAAAAAAGGAGAAGACAAGGTCATCGCAATCATGTCTAGGTTCGGGAGTCGGTTACGCAAGGGGAAGGTATGAGCACCCCTCACGTCCTTCGTACTCGACGGGATCCACGCATGTGTTGTCTATCTAAAAGGGTGTGTTGAAACTATCTATCTAAAGGCTTAAGGACAAAAGAAAAAGAAAAGAGAAACTAACTCGGCAGAGCATCGTCGCTTTGTGCCTACGTACTCCCTCGTGCAAAGGGAAAGTCAGAGTCAACGTAGTTCGCCTAACTACGGCTAAAGAAGGGGGGAAAGTTGCTCGCCGAGACATCGCGTCTCGTGCCTACGTACTTTTGTCTGGTACGAAAGATCAGAGCAAACATAGTTCGGGCTAACGAGAACACAGGCTGTTCAAAAGTTTTACCCGAGTAGGGTTAACAGACAGT